GCGCGACCAAATTTCCGAATTAGACATTCGTATTTAGCAACTGCGATGGGAATACGTGCCTTATTGCACGACAGGAAAATCAGTTATTTTAGGCGAACTTAATCAGCGTCAGTCCCATGTTTAATTTAGAGATTTGTTTATATCATTGTCATGCAGTTGACGGAAAATCGAACAATAGCCAACGCGTTTAAAATTTGTATAATATTACGATGTATAATTTACATTTTTGAAAAATTAATTTTTGTTAAAGTTTATTTTTGGTGATAACTTTGAAATCAAGTAATAAATGTCACTGTTTTCGTATTTAAGATTTATAACTGTGAATTATTTTTGAATTTATATTCGTTGATAACAAAATTAAATATTAAGTTTCTGTTTCTTTTTTTTTTTCCAAAAAGTCGTAATAATAGAGAGGAAAATCTGAAACGAATAAAGTGTCGAATACGATATGTTACAAGTTAGAATAACCAAAACTTTAGATTTCATATTTGCATCGGAGGTAGTGTTCATTAATTTGGTATCTTAAGCTGCTCAGGACGCTAAGTCAATATTATGTCATATAGCAAATTCGCTTTTAACAGTCTCTTCGACGGCGTACGACGGCTGAATTAAGTAGGTTCTATTGAACGTGGAAAATCAGAGAGAGAACCGAAGTACATCGCGCGCAGAGAAGAGGGAAAAAATAAAAGGCTAGAGAAGATCAGGGCGCGCGTACACGGCTTAACTCCGCGCGCGGGTTGGTGCTTTACGACCGTGGGCTATAAAGTTCCCGCTAATTCCACCTGGCAAACTTTTTCTCAGAGGTACGAAGACAGACAAAAATATCGTCGCGAAAGTTCCTTTGATAAGCGCACCTCGAAGAAGGCATAGCTGTCTTACTGAAGGGCACTTAATCCCGCGAAGTGAGATTTTGATGGATAAAACCAGCGATTTCCTCGAGACTTTATCAGCGAAAAGCGAACCAGTAGCTTTTGAAGCCTCGAGTTTAAGAAGTGAAACGTGTCCGTGGGTATTCCAAACTATTTAATCAAAGAACCATTCGTAAACCATAACCGTTTGTGCGAATTCTTGCAGTTTACCAACGGCACTATTATATTGCACATCATAGTATTACTACTGTTTCTCGTACGTTCAATAAAGCTATTATTATTATTATTATTATTATTATTATTATTATTATTATTATTATTAAATCTACTACTATTACACTGTAAAAAGTAAAATGTTAATTTTAATTTAAAGTACAGTGGATTTTCTGAGACATGCAAAGATATTAAAATTAACATTTTTATATGTCTCAGAAAGTCCACTATACTTTTAAGTTAAAATTAACATTTTATTTTTTACAATGTATTATTATTATTAGTATTATTAGTATTATTAGTTGTACAAATTACCATGAAAATTCTAGAAAAAAATATTGTCATTCTTTCTTCGATGGAAATGAAATTCAAGAGGTATTTTGAACTGATCTATAAAGTGGGAGGATAAATCGGTGTCGTGAATAAAGTTTGCATGGTTGGAGTCGCAAAGTGACAAGACGAACTCTTAAATCCGAAATTTTCGATGCAGCTGAAACTTGGCGAACATTCGGAGAGCTCAGACTGTTTTACGGGAAAACGATCCGCTAGTCTCTCTCTAAAGACACCCGACATAATTTTACCTTGCCCCCAAATGTTTTCATAAGCGAGGCAAACGTCGGAACGATGTTTAAATAAAAATTTCATAGTTCTCTCGATTCTGCCCTTTTATCGATATCCAACAAAGATATCGGTAAAAGAAAAGCGACATGGAAAATAAGGGATCGATGTGATAATACCTGATATTTTTCTATCTATAGTTTGTTTTTTTTTTCGCACAACAATCAAGAATCTTTTTAATGCGACATTACGGAGTTATCATTAAAAATTAAAATTAGTATTTTACTTAAAGTAAATTAAAGATATCAAATTACGAACAAATGAAATATTATATTTTAGCGAATTTAAAATGAAGGATGCACCGAATCATAAAATTACCGGATACCGGATATCCGATGGGATAGCCGATATTTTCCGAATATTTAACCGGATTCCAAGAAAGTGTCTTCTAAAAAAAAAAAGCCTCTACATATAGAGAAAAAGATTATAATTTTGCAACAATGTATAAGATATTATAGCATCATGAATATATATATATATATT